AAGAAAGAAATAAGATCTGAATACTGGAAAAGAAGAGATCAAATTATCCCTATTTGTAGATGATATGTTATTATATTTAAGAGACACCAAAAATTCCACCCAAAAACTCCTAGAAATTATTAACACATTCAGTAAAGTGGCAGGTTACAAAATTAACCTACAAAGGTTTGTAGCCTTTCTATATACCAATAACAAGCTGTCAGAGAAAGTGCACATGGAAACACTCCCCTTCACAATAGCTGCAAAAAATAAAATAAAATATCTTGGAGTAAACCTGATCAAAGACATTAAAGAGCTTTACAATGAAAATTTTTAAATATTTAAAGAAAGAGATTGAGGAAGACATTAGAAGATGGACCTCCCATGCTCATGGATTGGAAGAATTAACATTGTGTAAATGACCACCCTACCAAAAGTCACTTATAGATTCAACGCAATACCAATCAAAATTCCCATGACATTTTTCACAGAATTGTAAAAAACTATCCTAAGATTCATATGGAAGCACAAAAGACCTAAGATAGCCAAAACAACCCTGAGCACTAAGAGCAATGCCAGGGAGTGATTACTATACCAGATTTTAATCTGTATTACAGAGCTATAGTCATAAAAACAACATGGTACTGGCACAAAAATAGACCCATAGATCGATGGAACAAAATTGAAGACCCAAGTATGAGTACATGAAATTTCAGCCACCTGATATTTGACAAAGGGTCCCAGAACATTCACTGGAAGAAAGACAGCATGTTCAGCAAATGGTGCTGGCAAAAACAGATCTCCACCTGTAGAAGAATGAAATGAAACTTGTAGAAGAATGAAACGAAACCCCTATCTTTCATCCAGCACAAGTCAATTCCAAATGGCTCAAAGATGCCAATGTAAAACCTGAAACTCTGAAACTATTAGAAGAAAACATTGAGGAAAACCTACAAGATATAGGTGTAGTAAAGGATTTTCTAAACGGGACATCAATTGCTCAGGAAACAAGGGCAAGAATTAACAAATGGCACCTCATTAAACTAAAAAGCTTCTGTACATCAAAGGAGGCAACCAGGTAAGTGAACCGAAAACCCACAGAATGAGAGAAAATCTTCACCAGCGACATATCTGACAGAGGTTTAATAACCAGAATATATAACGAACTGAAAAAACAGAGAACCAAGACAAGAAGCAGCCCAATTAAAAGATGGGCTAAGGAGCTGAACAGAGAGTTCTCAAAAGAAGAAGTAAAGATGGCTATGAAACATCTTAAAAGATGTTCAACATCACTAATAATTAGGGAAATGCCAATTAAAACCACTTTAAGATTTCATCCTACGCCAGTCAGACTGGCTAAGATTAAGAGAAAAAATGATACCAAATGTTGGAGAGGATGGTGGGAAAGGGAAACACTCGTCCACTACTGGTGGGGCTGCAAACTTGTTCAACCCCTATGGAAAGCAGTGTAGAGAACTCTGAAAAAACTACAAATGAACCTACCATTTGACCCAGTTATACCACTCCTTGGCATCTACCCAAAGATCTCATTCTATTGCTGAGACACTTGTACATCCATGTTTGTTGCTGCTCTTTTCACAATAGCTAAGAGATGGAAGCAACCCAAGTGTCCCTCTGTTGACAAGTGGATAATGAAAATGTGGTTCAATTATATGATGGAGTTTTACTCCTCAGTAAAGAAAGATGAAATCATGAAATTTGCAGGTAAATGGATGGAACTAGAAACTGTTATACTAAGTGAAGTAACACAGACTCAGAAAAAAATCGACGTGTTCCCCCTCATATGTGGATCCTAGAACCAGACCCTGATAAATGAGTTTGTAGCCAGACATAACTACACAAACAAGGATAATGGAAAGGAACCAGGGAGGTAAAGGAAAAGAAATAACCTGAAAGAGAAGAATAGTAGGAAACAGGCCTTAATAAGGGAGATATGGATAAAAATTGGGTTAGTTTAAGGGAGGGGGAGGGAAGGGTATACAAGGAACCTAGGGGATAAAGGGAAAGAAGGAGCTCAAGAGAGGTAGGACCATAGGAGAAGGATATTATTAAGGGAGAAAGGGGGGAAATGGGGGCACCTTAAGTGGGAAAGCCATGATGGAGGGGTGAGACAATGTGAGAGATAAACAATGCCTAGCTAGCTTTGAAAACCAGAAAGAACCATATTACTCCTGCAACCTACTGACAAATTATACATAGCGGACCAAGAAATATATGTATAGGTAGGGTTTATCTGAGAACAACTGGTCTTTGCCCAAGATTTATCTACATAACACACAGTAATTAAAAGTACCAGACTGGTGGAACTAACCTTCTTGGGTGTTTAACAGACATACTTTGAGGCCTATAATAATTTGGTCAGAGGGATATAAAGGACACTTTTTGCTCCTTGCCCTCCTAGGTCGACTAGTTCCAGGGGACTATGAGCATCTCTCAAAATGTCCTATAATGGTGGTGGGTCACCTGTCCTCTTTATCAAGGAGGCCTAGGAGACCCCACCAGATGGACTTGAATCAATTTCCAGTCTACGAAGATGAGGGTCAACACAGAGGAATCATTTCCTCCATGCTTCCAAGTGAAGCCAACCATGGTCGAGCAGGACCTTTGACTTATCTTCACATAGGCAGAACTGGTAAAAGAAAGGAGCCAGGGGCTCCTTCCAAGCCCATGTGACCCTTGAGGAACAGATCCTCAAATGACCTTAAGAGTAAAAATAAATTGGTTTATCTGGGCCAACTGTATGGCCTTAAACACCCAAAGGGAAAGTATAACCAAAGATTAAAAGGGTCAATATAATTTCTTAAGAGTCCATATGCATAACTAAAGGCTACATAACAAGCAGCAATGCCAGACCAGTGATACTTTCTTTTGAGATGTTGGCCAGGGTGGCCAAAGGGACTACCAGATAGTTACCCAGCATAGAACTGGGAAAATGAACAGCAGACCCCAATCTTATCCAAAGGAATGTTGACAACTGATTACTGCTAGATGAGGAACAACTGACCCTCCTAAAACAAATACCTCTAGATAGGCTGACTAGATTCACCAGAAGGGCAAGTAGTGGGGAAGGGCTGGGGGTGCCAACAACACAGCAGACAGTAGCAGGGGTATCAAAGTAAAAGGGCTCTAGTGGAGGAAGGGAGGCTATGAGAGGTTGCTATTTGGGAAGTGGGTGTATAGTCGAATGAGATGGTTTGGGATGTTCTGTGTGATATACACACACAAAAATATCAACAAATTAAAAATGTATTATATTTGAGGAGGAAGCATGGAAATTTATGTCATGCTAATTAGTAGAGGTGATAAACAATACAATTGAAATCTGCCTGAAGACTTTATAGACATACACAGGCGCCAAGGATCCAAGTGCAACCGATTATGACTGGTAATTATCAGATACATACAGATTAGAGATGCAACTGCTAACATCTCAGTGTTAATAGCAGAAACAATGATTCTTTCTGCAAGTAACAATATATTCTAAAATGAAATGGAGATCTTTTTTAAAGGTTAAAAACTCATCCAATTTTATGTCTTACAGGGCTTATACTGAGTTCAATAATATATAACTATATTAATTCAACTGTGGACCTAGAAACTTACACCTACTTGTGAAAGAGATGTACTGTTGCTCTGGAATGTGTAACTGAATATGTTAAAGCTGTAGTGGAAAGCTTCTAATCATGTAGTTATTAA